CTATTGTACAGTTTTCAAGTTGTGAAAGTTAACCACATGCAAAGCGCGTGATATTCATGTTTTTGGTTAATTAGATCAAGTGTGTCACACCTTAAATTTTCAAGCAATGACTTACTTTTTCCTGTTTGCAAATTTGACATTCCTAAACAACTAGTCTTTTGAAGGAAAGTTACGGTGTTCATTTCTCGGAACTCGAAGTTCATGGATCCGTCGAAAGAGATTAAAACAAAAAGCATGGGAATATGCAAACACTACAGATCATTCTTAAGTTTTGTGAAATGAGATGAGAAGCACACTTCTTATAACTCTTCTACGATTGCTTGTGAGCTTTTATGACAAATTTGAAAGAAAAATAAATAACGAAACCACCTTTTCACATTTACATGAGGTTAGTCTTTTCTAATTGAACATTTCTGATCCGTTTCACTAGCGCTTGCTTCACCGCTGCCATCACGGCTGGAGGCTTCGGACTCGCTACTAAAAGGAGGCTTTATTCTTTCTCTGTGTGGAAGATCGCGGCAGAGTTGATCAAGGAAGTCGATGCGCTCTTGAAGCGAAGATAGTTCGGTGCTGAATTTATGAGACTCGGCAAGTTTCAATGCCTTCTCGGCGGTTTCCTTGGCAAGTGGGTACATTGCCTCTCCCTGTCGATAATATTGATCGGAACGAGTTTTCAAAATCTGCACTCGCGTACCTCGAGGAATATCATCAGCCAATTGGTCCTCCAAAATATCCAGATGCTTTACTGCATCTGCAATATCTTGTGGGGGAATAACTTTAATTTGAGTTCGTGCGACAGTTGATGTGCAATCCAGTAACACAGTTGCCACTCGTAGATGCCCATATATTTGCTTTTTAACTCGTACCCTCTCTCTGGGATCCTTCTTGCCCGCCTCAATCGTCTTTTCGAAGTACTCTCTTACAGTCCTCTGAAGGTCGTTTCGCGCCTTCGGTTTTCTCTCATCATACGGGATCTTGCTCATATAGGCCAAATAAAGTGAACCATAGTTGTAATAAATCTCTGCCCAGTCCTCCGGCGACTCATGATTTTGTAGTAAATATTCGGCTTTCTCGAGGCATCGGAGGAGAGGCTGAAGTTTTCTGCTATTTTTATGTCTACAGACTTGTACGAACCCATAGAAGGCTCGCGCTAATAAAACATTCGGATTGCAAAGCTTAGAGGGAGAGCTTGAGCCAATTTTTATCGCCCGAGAGAAAAGCCGCTTGCTTTCCTTAAGGGATTTTTTCTGGTAAGAAAACGCTACTCCACGTTCTATTATCATTGCCAATTGCATGTCAGTGTCGCCTTTACGCTCAAAATGTTCCATGTAGGAAGTAACCATACGATCGTGTTTTTCGAACCGTCCATTGTCTTGTAAATCTACAAGTCTCTCCATAATTTCCTCGCATTGTTCTCCGCTGAGATAGCCTGTTGTTTTGATTAAGGGCAACTGCGGTTCGATGTCGTCAACAACCGAGGTGAGAAGTTCGCCGCCTTGTAATTCATCGAACGCTTGTATTCGGTTCCCAAATTTATCCTTGTGTCGCTCGCCGCATTCGTCATCCTTCAGTCTGCTGTCACATTGAAGTCCGTCTTCGTTGCAGCAGAGATTACGGTTCACTTGTTCAACGTTCGACTGGCCAATTAAAACGACACTGTAGTTTGCGAGGCTTAAGTTCATAGTGTTTCGGTCAGTGTCGACTTTAGTTTGAGCGATAACGGAGGTTGAATCTTCCCGATGAAAACTGAATAGCAAGCCCTCCACATCATGAAAAGATGGCTGTCCACGGTCTGTGAGCTGTTTTGAAAATTCATCTGCGAGGTCATGTCTACAATCCATCTCTGTCTGAGCTTCTTAGTACGTTGACGGCGTCAATTTCAAGATTAAACCTCTTCGACCTTTTTCCTTGTGTTTATAATTATTTATTTGGTTCAGCTATGATATGCGACAGGCTTACAAGTACTCACATGATCAACTAGACTCCAGATATTTCTCAGTGATGTTCCCTCGAGAAAGTGAAACTGTTTATTCTTCATCAAATACTATTATTAGAAAGTTCCTCGATTGTATATTAATCTGCATGCCAGCCAGAGTTTTAAATCTCCTCGATAGAAGGACTTGAGTTTAAGAGACTTCTGTGAGTAAGCTTGAATGCAGCGACCTTATTGTCTACCAGAAGAACAAAATATTGTTGCATCAGAGAGGTGAACTAATAATATTCTTTATTTGCATGAAAGCTGAGCCTCGAAAGAATAGACTGCGTAAGTCTAATTGGGAAAGTCCCTTTGTATTTTTGGTTTTTGTACTTTGTTCTTCCGGTTTCATTATTTGCATGTCGAATTGATTACACAGTAAAATATTTCTGCATGTTTTGTCTGACATTTCTGACAGTTAGTATCCACCATTGATCGACGTACATGAAAAGGATAGGTTGGTCTAAGAAGTCACAGTTTCAAAGCAGAAACTGCTTCAATTCAAGGACACCAGAAAGTTAATCCATTTTTAATTTACAATCGTACCTTTTTACAATTTTCTTTTACAAGGGTGCCATTAACGAATAATTGATTTCATTTGTCTTAAAATTACGCTCGCTAGAGCTGATGACACCAAAATGGCCACCAGTCGCTCAGTTTCCTAGCTGTGTTTTCGAGTGTTAAACCAGCTAAAGTTGGTTACAAGAATTTCCTGCCGGTTTACTATTCTATATTTCTCAATAAACCTCAGGGGCACAAAACTAATGTTTATCTGGTTCAAAACCACATCAACCAAGGTTTCCTCCTTAATTAAATGCAACTATATCATCTCATCTATTTTCTTTTATCTTTCATGAAAACTGCATGGCGTAAGAGTAAATATCATTTAAACTAGTATCACAATTTGGGCTTAAAATATCCAAACTTTCACTATTAATTTGTGCTGTACAAACAGAATTTCCTCGTTGAATTAATTGAATTATCAGTATTCGGAACGGGTCATGGCACGAAGGGGCTATGATTGTAGATTGGAGTCGAGGTTCTTCGATAAGCATGATCGAGCTTTATTGTCTTAACATGCGCATCCTTCATCCCGACAAGTTTCATTAATCTGCCTTTATCCTGAGTTCGACCCACTAGCACTGTAAGTGGCTTCGCTGCCTGAAGCTTCGAGTTCTTCCGTGAAAACCAGGTGAGAGAGAAGTTTTTCTTTAAATAACTCGATCATCTCTTGTAGAGTGTTTAATTCGGTGTCAAATTTGTGGAGGGAAGCGAACCTGAAAGCCTCCGCGACTGTTTCTTTGGCCAGGTTGTATGATCCCTGACGGTAGAACTGATCTGATCGAGTTTTCAAGAGCTGTATCCATGTACTCGTGGGGATATCATTACCAAGTTTGAACTGAACAATATCCAGGTGTTCTTTAGCTTGTTTGATGTCGCTGGTTGGAATGGTTTTCTCTTGAATCCGCGCAGCAGTTGAACAGCAATCAAGGAGTATTGCTGCAAGTTTGATGTGCGCGTACCTTTCTCTTTTAATCCGAACTCTCAGTCGATGGTCTAGTTGACTGAAA